ACAAAGTGCTATGTAATCAAGACAGAAAATAAATAAATAAATTGTTCACGCTAAAAAATGGCACCAATAGATGCCTGGCCATGTCTCGTCTACACCTGCACAAGGAGCACCCCGTTAGGAGTCAAAGGTTATCGGTCGAGAAAAAGGTCCGACGACCGTTTGCACTCCAACGGTCAAGTCATTATATATATATATATATATATTTGGTTAAGGTTCAGAACATTGTCTTACCTAGAAATAGAGTGAATTCTCATATATACATATAGACGAATGAAATGGGCCAAGTATTTTAATGGGCCTAAGTCCAAGCCCAACATGAGATAGTTTTATGAGCATTGTTATGGGTTCCTCCGAAAGCACTTTAGCAGGACCTCTTAGGGTCTCGGCGGCATCTTTGACAGCTCCTCGACTGGCCTCTTGAGAGCCTTAGTTGGACCACTTAAAGGTCTCGATGGACATCCTTAAAAGCATGTCGGTAGGCATTTCGGTCATCTTTGAAGGCACCTCGTCGCACCGTTTGGAGAGCCTCGGCTTAGACTTTATAAGCACCTCAGCTGAGTTTTGAAGGCACCTTAGCTGACCCTCTTGAGAGCCTCGACTGAATTATTGATTCACAGCTCATCCATGCATTCAATGTGTATTATTGTGGTGCCTTCATGTGGCATTTCATATTCGACCAGCAACATGAATGAATAAATAATAAAATAAAATTATTTGATTCAATGGGTTCTTATCAATACCTAATTCCAAAACCTAAAAACAGCAGACAAGCCAAACAACACTTAACACGTCCCCGAATTGTGTAATATCAGAATTTGGTCATTGTACAGCTCTCTGAGTTCGTCCATTCATTTTCAATTATAGGAGATTTGATTTGTTTAAAAATAAGAATTTTAATAAGAAGTTGATGTGTATTTCAGAAGTTGATAAAAGTTGGAACCTATAAAATGTATAGTCAAAAATAAGTTTAAGAAAAAATAAAGTTGAGAAAATAAGAGCAGACAGGAGATAAGTACTTCATTTATCAAACACACTATGCACTTGTGTAATTATGGACGGTAATTCGGCTCGTCGATTTGGTTTGGGAAAGGCCCGAACCTCGAGCCGCATTTTGGGAGGACGGGCCGAATCTGAGTCGGCTCGCGAGCCTAAAAAAAAAGGCAGCAAAATGCTGCAGCCGTAGCTGGCTACCTTTTAAAGCAGCTTTAAATAAAAAAATAAAAAGAGCAAAGAAAAAAGCGAGCCTATCTAACTCGGCTTGGAAAGGCTCGAATCGAAAGTTTGGGTCGAGTTAAATTTTTTTTGGCTGAGCATTTGCTCGGGCCCGAAAAAAAAAGCTCACACATTTTACCCGAGCCAAGCCCGAGTTTCAAGTTTCGACTAGCGAACCGGCTCGACTCGACTCGACTCGTTAACATCCCTATATGTGTAATGTATAGCTGATAAGTAAAATTGGTCTTAAATTTTGCGTTGGTGGATTGAAATCAATTTCATCGTCAATTGTGTGCTAAAAATCTGTAAAATGAACATTTGATTAACCTAATTAGGCTTAAAAAACAAGGGGTGCAATGGCCGAAAACTTTGTGACTTAAAGTTGGTGAGGCCCCAAACTGAAAAATTGAGTGAAATAATAGTATATAGTATGAGGAAAAAGTTGCTTGTTAAAAATTTGGTAGGAAATCAGAAATTGCTCTGCTTAGAATTTGTACTATATATTGCCACGGGAGGTTTTAGTTCTCGAGAGATATGTCAAAGATCCTCAAAACTGGTATATTAAACTGGACAGAAGCTATCTCGTCGAAATTTTCAATTGATCAATTATTTGACCATGCTAATAGTTTTGTATTTCGAATATCATATATGCTAGGGGAATATCTAGTGGTGGAGCAAGAATCTGGCGAGGTGGCGCGGCCACCTGCGCTTGCTTCTGGTAAAGTGAAGAGAGAAGACGGGCGCTGGCTTGAAAAATAGGGGAGATGAAGCCAGACTTGGGCCCTTTTTCAAGAATCTGAGCCTTTTCTTTTAAACAGTGGCACAGTAACTGAATAGTCTGAATCCATTTGGAAGAAAAACAAAATCTTTGATAATCGTCACAATCCATTGCCCAGGTTTCACTTTCAAAAATCACAATCAGTGCCAATTCAAAACCCTATTCTTCTAACCCGACTCCGTCTCGGTGATTCCCGATATTATCCCCCGGCAGCCGCACGCCGTCTCACTGTCGCCTTCATTGCATTCATCTTCTTAAAAAAAATAAATAATAAATAATACTAATAATAATGATAATGATAATATTGAATCTTTTGCATTTTAGGGTTTGTTAAGAGATTGATTTTAGTTATAATTTGATTTATTTAATAAAAAATGAAAATAATTGCAATTGGTTCCTTGGTTTTAAACGTGCGGATTAGATGGTATGTGGTTAGGTTTTTAGATTCACATTCGTGTATTTTGAATTTTTCTGTTATTTGTGTAATTGTATTCTCTTTTTCTTTGTTTTTAATTAAAAAATGTAGTCTAAAATGCTAATCAAGTGTAAAAATTTGGCAGAAGTGACAACCTTTACATAGTTGTGTTATTATCATTTAAAATGTTCAATTGAGAAATTTGTGAGATAAATAATAAACTGTTGTTGAAAATTGAAAAGTTAAACTTGATGATAGTTTAACATGTCTTTTTTGTGCATTTATATATAGATTGAAGATTTTTAAATATTAATAAATAACATCATTATTATGGTTGTTGACTGTTGACGGTCAATGATTAACAACCACTTTAACTGACCTCCAATCCTGAATCCGCCATCGAAATATCAATTGCCCTGAAGCCTAAATACATTTGCCTAATTGCCCACTAAACTAATTAACTATGATTTTATGATTTAATGCTACTTAGTTCCA